TTTTCACAGTTACTAGTACTGCAATATGTTAGGTACTTGTCTGTCATTGAGTCTTATAACTATCATTTTTTTTTATATGAGGATAGAAACAAGAAAGTGAGACAAGCAGATAGGATGGATGGATTTTCATTACAAATGTTGACTTAGACTCTAAAATCTTGGATGGCTTTATGGCTTCATTTATACAGTGTCATGACAGAACAGGGAACATTTTATAATTTCCTCCCTCAAGTGTTGCTACTCCCGTGTCTGTCTCCCTCCAAGTCAACGGCGCCACCATCACCTCTGCCTCGCAGGCTTGCTGCCTACGTGTTCTCTTTGACTCTGACCTCTCCTTCACCCCTCATGTCCAGTCGATCGCCAAATCCTGCCACTTCCATCTCAAAAACATAGCTCGCATCTGCCCCTATTTAACATCAGACGCAGCTGCCATTGTTCTTTCTTGTCTTGACTACTGAAATCCCCTTCTCAGTGGTCTTACATGTTCCCAGGTTGCACTGCTGCAATTTAATATGAACGCGGTGGCAAGGCTCATTTTCCTGTCCAACCACACCTCCCCGCTCTGTCAGTCCCTACATTGGCTTCCAGTTAGATATAGGGCTCAATTTAAAGGATCACTATAGTCCACATACAAAAGCAAGAAAAACAGGTCCCCTAGCCTTCTTTCTTGCTTTTATATGAACTTTCCATTAAAAAAAAAAAAAAGAAGAAAATCAGAGTCCTTTTTCTCATATAAACTTACCTCCGTTCCAGCGCCGAGCTCCTCAGCAGGCCATGCCCCCTTTTTTGTCAAAGGGGAGAGAAGCATCATTGAATGCCGCCCTATGAATGAACTCACTGATCTACCGCGCATGTGCATGGTATGTGTGTTCACGAGCTGAGCTGACTGACAGCTCAGCTTGCTGTCTATATCCACCCTTCTCCTACGGCAACACTCCAGCCCAAAGTTAGTATACAAACACGATATAGAGAGAAATCTCTATATATAGTGTTTGTATAAAAACACACACATTTTAAATAAATATTGTTAAACATACACACACACTCTATCTATCTGTCTATTTCTATCTATCTACCAATCTATCTACCTATCTATCTATTTCTATCTCTCACTCACACTCTCTCACTCAGACTCTCTCACTCACACTCTCTCACTCACTCTCTCTCACTCACTCTCTCTCACTCACTCTCACACTCTCTCTCTCTCACACTCTCTCTCTCTCACACACTCTCACTCACACTCTCTCACTCACTCTCTTTCACTCACACTCTCTCACACTCACTGTCTCACTCACACTCACTGTCTCACACTTGCTGTTTCTCTCACTCACTGTCTCTCTCTCTCACTCTCTCTCACACTAACTCTCAATTTTTAAAATAAGTGTACTTGCTGTTTGAAGTCAGGAGATCTCTGCATCCTCCTGCCTTCTGCCTTCTGCCTTCAGCCTGTCAGCTCGAGCCAACTCTGTGTGCAGGAGATGTTATCTCCCACACTGTTGGCTCTGATTGCTGACATGCTCCGGGTTACTACAGAAAACAGGAGGCGTGTTCACAGTGCCTTCTGCCTCCTGTCATCACGTTTAATGTATTCACCCAAGCATGAAGACGTCAAACGTGATTAATGCGAGTTAGGCAGCCCTGAACTCGGAAGTCCCTCTGGTGGCCGCCTGAGTGACTGCCACAGGAGGTGTTCTTAGGTTCTAATGCAAACACGTGTGTTTACATGAGAAGGGCTGCAGGGAGCTATAGTTCTCACCTGAACAACTTCATTAAGCTGAAGTTGTTCAGGTCACTATAGTGTCCCTTTGATTCAGGTGCTTGTTTACAAGTCCCTACATAATGTTGCTCCAACCTACTTATCCTCCCTAAAACACTAGTACTTCCCGTCGAGGCCCCTGTGCTCTGCCGAAGACCTACATCTATCCTCTGTCCGTACTCCCACATCTGATGCTCGCCTCCAAGACTTTTCTGTGGAACTCCCTTACCCTCTCCGTTAGACTTTCACCCAGTCTCCACTCCTTCAAAAAATCTTTGAAAACACACTTCTTTAGGAAAGCATATCATTAAAACTGTTAGCAGGTTTTTATTTCCCCTTCTCCCTCCCCCCCCATGACTCATGTCCTGCAACTGTCAAAAATAAGATTAAATCACTTTTTAAGTACTGTTTTAGCAGCCCTAGCACACACTTCCCCTGGATGAGAATCACACAGCCTACGTGATAAAAAGGTTAATTTTTGCAGCAGAGTGTGTTTACTATAGAAGTTATTATCGCCTTTTTTCTGGGGGTTTGGGGATCTCGAATCATAGCTTTAAACAAGCATGTGCTGCACAGCCAGGTATTCAATGTGATCCCACCACACTACCTATTTAATAGAGAGGTGTGCAGCAAGGGTCTGTTAACCAGCTCTCCCTCTCATCAATCTCTTGGTGGGCACCAACCCCTCGGAAGCCTAGTGGAGAATGGTACTACTGCTGCTTTCAGCCATTGAATATAGTTAGTATAAGAGGAGAATATGATATATTGTTTTTCTGCTCTTCCTCTTGTATATTGTGTTGCCTAACTGTACCTGGATCCAACTGGATTGTGATGTCACCTGCCACATATTTAATATATATTTTAGAAGAAAAAGATTATCACGTGAAAAAAAATGGATAGCCATTACCTGATGTTTTAATCAATGAAAAAAGTGACAGTACCTAGTTATATATATATATATATATATATATATATATATATATATATATATATATATACACATATATATGTATGTATCTTGTGATGTATAAACATGGGTACCTGGGTATAAAGACCTCTATTTTACAGTAAAAATGTTATTTGTCCTTTTTATTCAGTTATATTATTCTCTGCTCTTTAGAAACTGGTGGACGAGGATGCAAAAGCATGAATGAAATGGAATACACTAATACATCTCACCAAGGTATGTGAAATCAAAACCCAGCGTAATTCAATAAGTCAGCCAATCAATATAGGATGTATAGTGCATTTTTTGTGAAACATGAGATTCTTCAAGAGGTTGTAGAAATGGTTCTATTCCATGTGATGCAGTAATCTAATTTTCTTGCTCCTGCATTTTTACACAGAACTTAAGTTTTATGGCAGTGTACTTGTTGGAAAATTCATCGTCTGGTTCTCAATGATGGTAGTGTTTTGGATCCAGCTCTCGTTAATTAAAAGGTACAAAAACTGTCAGGATGATTTACTAAATAGAACATTGTTGGAAATTTACAGGGGAATAGCAATTTTAAGGCCAAACTGACTAAGTTGGAAACATAGTTGACTTGGAGCATTTTTACAGCAATTGTGCCTGAAAATATTTTTCCAATTTTCATCTCTCTGCTGAATTCCCAATTTAGTGTCTAACCTTATGATACACATGCTATAATTGTATGATCATGACGAAATGATGATAATTCAAATTTGTATTCCTATAGCGCCCCTGTCTCTATTTATAGTCAGGCCCACTTCCCCGTGTGCAATAAAATGTTAAGACAATAAACGATTGACTTACCTTTTTCCAGGCATTTTTGCCATTGCTTACCACTCTGCCTCTCACAAAGTCATGAATGAGGCAATCCAGTGTTCCTCATAGAAGAACTTTGGGGACACAAGGTGCATGCGCAGTTATCTTTTTAATCAATGCTTTCCTATAGAGCTTTCCGTATCAGGTGTCTGAGTTTTACTCGGTCAGTGCATTGAAAGCACCTCTAGTGGCTGTCACTAACCCTGTAACCCTAACTTAACCCTGTATTGTAACCATTGCAGTTTCTCAAAAAACTGCAATATTTTACATTGCAGGCTTAAAATCCAGATTCAACTCTATTGTCACTGTACATACAATACAAACACAGTTGGCCTCTAAACAGAAATGCAGCAGAAATTTGTAAAATGACAGGAACACTGCAACCAGCTCACTTCATTGAGAGGAAGTAGTCTGGGTGACTATATTGTTACTTTAAACATATTGCATTTTAGCATTTTTCAAAAAAATTGACTGCTAAATATAAGCTGTGTCACACAAAAATAGCCAGTTTGATATTATGAATGCATATATGCACATTTATAAATTTCAAAAAAATACAATGCTAATTAAACTTTTATAATACAGGTAGGCAACCTTTGGCACTCTGGCATGTCTCCCATAATGCTTTTACAACCATAATGCTGGCAAAGCATCAGGAGAGATGTAGTCCACAATATCTGGTGTGCTGAAAGTTGCCTATCCTTGTTATAATACATGTCACACTTCTAATTAATGTTAATTGTTATTTGTCTTTATATTGCTTGCAGAAAAAAGAAGGCTGAGACGAGGACAGAGACGCAGTCTGAATGATGTATAACAGTTCCACACATATTGCTGTTATTACAACTCTTTAGGGTTCACCATAGGTTTCCCTGTTGTTTGAATTTCTACAAACACTTAAAAATTTAAAGTCTTGACCAGAGCGTTTCGGTCGCCCTCACCCCACTTCCCCCCCAGAAAAAGAAAGACAATCAGGACATTTTCTACCATTTTTGCTTCTGTTTCGAAGACTCAAAATCACTGGTAATGGCCTTTTACTAAACACATTTACATATGCCATCTATTACAAAACACTAGAATAGCTACATGTTCTAATTTTCATTCAACACTGTGGAAATATTTTTGTACATTATAAAAAAATTACAGTATTTTCTCTAATAAATATATACTGTATATACTCGTGTATAAGCCGACTTTCTCAGCACATTTTTTATGCAAAAAAAAAAGCCCCTCAGCTTATACTCGAGTGAGCAGGGCCGGCGCTTCCTGTAAGGCTAACTAGGCGGCCGGGTACAGGATACAGAAAGTCCTGTACCGCGGACCGGAGAAGAGCTCAGCCACGCTACAGGGAAGGGGAGGTGAGGAGAATAAACAGGGGGGAGGTGAGGAAAACAAACAAGGGGGTGGGTTGAGGAGAATGATATTAGAATATATATATATATATATATATAAAGACAGATAAAGAATACCTGGTAACATTGACATTTTCAGAACAGTTTAACAACCCAGCGACAACACCACCATTAATGACCACAACACAAATGTATTATGCATTTTTTATAATAATTTTAAATGGATTGCTTTAACCCCTTCAGGACGTAGGACGGTTCAGGACCATCCTCGGCATTTTTGCGTTGTTCAATAAAGGTTACCACCTTTTATGTGGACAATTTTTATAGCATTGTCTGTTTGTTTCAAACTCTTTAGGGTTTCTAGATACTGGCCTCTGGCAGTGTGAGAAGATATGCCAAGGATTTCCCCAAACCTTTTATAGAGGCCAAATTAAAAAAAACTGAATGTAAAGGTCTGCACAAAGCTAAAGTGCTTGCAATAAAATTTAAGGACAGGAAGTATGTTAATATACTAACCACCATCCATGATGAAAGCATGTCAGACGTCACTGTCCGAGGCAGAGTACAGACCAAACCTGTTTGCATAAGTAAGTAGCGACACATAATTCATTTTTACTCTTTAAAAAAATGAATCCAGAAAGAACCACCTTTCTCCAATTTCAGTTCAAGCTGATTTATGGAGATGGTCAAGTTCCAACAATGGTGCCAGAGGAGTCCAGACATTTTATTTTTAAGATACTGCCAACTGCAAAAAAAACAAATCCCCTGAAATGTTGCTGGGTCTGTTATAAAAAAGGGAAAAGTACAGGCACCCCTTTGCACTGTTTTTTTTTTCTTTTGAAAGCAGCAAATTTTAGTTAGTCAGTTTCCTTCCCCCCAAATCTCCAGTTAGATTCTTTTTGCAGGAGTTAGTTTAGAGAATGCTGCTAAAGGTGCATTTGATACCTGCACATTTGTTTAAAAAAGTTTTATGGTAGTAACATATATAACTGGCTGGCCAAAACCAGATGACGTGTGCAGAAAAAGCAGAATTCGAAAATTACCACCATGCACGTTCTCTGAAATTTGTTTAGCACAATGGTTGGGGGAAGGATGTGAAAACACCTCATATACAATACCCTGGAATGCCTACTTTATAAAAATATAAACTTTCATGATGTTAACATTAACTGGGGGATGCAAAAATATGCCAAACTGAAGATAGGCCAAGCATACCTATATATCAAGTTGAAAAACTGATATGTACAAGTCTCTATTGTGGCCTTTAAGCCCCCAAACAACCCAGCAAACCTATGCATGGGTGATATCACTGTACTCAGGAGATGTTGCTGAACACATATTGGGGTGTTGTTTGGCAGTGATACATAACAGGATCTGTTAATTCATGCCTAAAGTACAATGTATGTGTGTAAAAAAAATAACTACCCAAAAGTTTGCCAAAGGCTGGTGGTAGAATTATTGCATTAAACTACCACCATTTAAAATATCCTGAGTAGTCTACTATTCAAAAATATATGGTTTGATGGGGGTAAAATACATTGGCCCAAATAGGAGAGGGGCGCTGGTTTACTACATGTCAAAATTCCAAGTTGAAAAATGGATATGCGCACCTGCCAAGTGTGGCCTTTTAGCCCCCATACAATCCGACAAGCCTATGCATGGGTGGTATCACTGTACTCAGGTGATGTTGCTGAACACATATTGGCGTGTTGTTTGGCAGTGACACATAACACGTTCTGTTAATTCATGCCTAAAGTACAATGTGTGTGAAAAAAATACACAAAAAATGACTACCTAAATGTTTGACAAAGTCTGGTGGTAGAATGAGTGCATGGAAAGTGTTAAAAAAAACACAATTTTAAATACCCTAGGGTATCTACTTTCCAAAAATATATGGTTTGGTGTTGGTAAAATACATTGGCCGGCCTTACAAAAGTCCCAAATAGGACATGTGCGCAGGTTGACTACATGTCAAAATTCCATGTTGAAAAATGGATATGCACACCTGCCAAATGTGGCCTTTTATCCCCGATACAACCCGACAAGCCTATGCATGGGTGGTATCACTGTACTCAGGAGATGTTGCTGAACACATATTGGGGTGTTGTTTGGCAGTGACACATAACAGGATCTGTAAGTTTATACCTGAATTGCAATGTATGTAAAAAAAAAAAAAAAAACTGCCTATGAGAAGTTTGGCAAAGACTGGTGGTAAAATGGATGCATAGAAAGTGTCAAAATATCCTTAGATGAATACCCTGGGTTGTCTACTTTAAAAAAAATATATACATGTGGAGTGTTTTCCAGACATTTATGACAGATAATAGTGTTACAATGTCACTATTGATAAATTTTTAAAAATTTATGTTTTGAAACCGCCATGTCCTACTTGTACCTATAGCCCTATAACTTGCAAAAAAGCACGTAAACACTGGGTATTTTTAAACTCAGGACAAAATTTTGAATCTATTTAGCAGTTTTTTTTCATTCGCTTTTGTAGATGAGTAAAAGATTTTCCAAGTAAAAGTGAAAATTTTTTCATCATATTTTTCATTTTTTTTAAATTAAATTACATGAGATTATATAAATAATGGTATGTAAAGAAAGCCCATTTTGTCCTGAAAAAAACAATATATAATTTGTATGGGAACAGTAAATGAGAGAGCAGAAAATTACAGTTAAACACAAACACCACAAAAGTGTAAAAAGAGGCCTGGTCGCAAATGTACAACATCGCAAAAACAGTCCAGTCCTTAAGGGGTTAAACAAAGAATGAGTATTTTTGGTAAGTTGAACACCTAAATGGGTGATATTGTCTTATTTCCAATCAAACTGATTATATTTTGTTTAATGTAACAATAATCTCTTCATAAGGCATATTTGGTAAAACCTGTATTTACTTTTGTTATTTTTTATAAGATACCTGTCCAAAAAGTATTAAAGAAGGTATAAGAGATGGGAGAGATGAAGATGGATTTTCATAAAAAATAAATTTTATTAATTTTGAATTCATGTGAAATCTTACTTAATTGAATAACATAGAAAGTATGTCATTGCTATTTAATTTTAAAGGCTTTTAATAGCTATTTATTTGTGAACACTAGTGAGCACTAAGAGATTTGGAGATTTATTTCCAAACTTCAATACATTTGGGCCAATCAGGTGACTGGGTGAATTCTTGAACTGCGAGCAGAACTGTCCTCAGACCAAATATACTCAATTTCTGAATGCTGCCTCTGGCACCATAAAAGCAGACTATTGATGGGAAGAAAAGATGATTCATGGCTAGTAGGAACTCTAATTGTTGACTTTATTTACAATTCAAGTGAGAAGTGACCAACAGAGAAACAAAATGAGGATCAGTAAAAAAAAAAAAAAAATCTATATTTATATATTTAATAAATATATAAATATAGATTTTTTTTTTTACTGCTTTTCCTATTTTCCCCTTTAATTATATACTTTTTCTCACTCTATCTGTAAATATTATAATATTAGGATTCAAATTTTCCCTGAAATAGTTATTAAGCTCTTTTTCAGCAAGTGTCTTATTTTCAAGCTCTGTGACTAAATGGTCTCCATGGCCTGCATGGGTTCGACTGGAAGGACTCCTCCAAATATAACACTAATTAACCATGAATTATTTTAAACAACTTTGCAATACAGATTCAACTTCTCAAAACAAATAACCAGTGCAGGACTTAGAAAAAAATACAATAAATTATTAAGTTATTAAAGCCCAGCATCTTTTTAAGATTTTTTCCTTGGTAGTTGAGGTGTCATCGGTGTGGAAGCTATAGGTGATGTAGGATCCATAAAACAAAGAGAGCGCAGGACTTCCATGCCTTCTTATGGGGATGTTATAATATAAGGAGAGCTCCTCGTGAAGCAGGGATACTTCTCCTCACCACTACTACCCCCCGATAAATCTCAAGTAATAATGGCTTAAAAACTGACAACCTTTATTGAAACAAAAATAATAATATTTATAAAAAAAACCACACACACGAAAAAAGCACCCATTCACCCTAAATTGTGAACAGTTAAAACATAGAGACTAGAGACTACAGATCTAGCTGGTAGAGTATTCAGGCAAATTGCTTGTATAGGCAAGTATATAACAATGTATCAGAACAATGCAATTTTTGTATAGTTGTATGAGACAACTGGACACAGTTGCAAAAAGTGTATACCAAAGAAATCCAGCCTGTTGGTAGTTAATTACAGCCAAAAAACAGCAATAAGCCTTCCCCTAATGAATCAAAATAGGGAAAAATGAACTTAGGTAACCTCTTCAATAGAAATCCCTGATTTAGATATCAGCTTCCAACAGTGAAAAAACTCCTTGTATTTAGTCTAGCAGAAGTTAAATCGAAAGGATAGGGAGATAAGAGATAGAGGAAACAAATAAGTTAGAAAAAGTGCTGTCTAGGGTGGTCACAGAGAAGTACATTTCTCTGAGTCTCAAGTGCCCTTTTGTGTGCTTTCTTGAGGCAGCGATTCGGATAGCCTTTTTTTTTTTAAAATAGGCCCTGAGTTGTTGTGCTTTCAATTTAAAGTCCGAGAGGTCACTACAATTCCTGCGGAGGCGGAGATATTGGCCAACAGGGATACCTTCCTTCAAGGGTCTAGGGTGGCAACTTCCCCAGTGGAGAAGAGAGTTTGTAGCGGTAGGTTTTCTGAATAGAGTGGATTGAAATGTGCCCTCCCTATTGATAGAGATGGTCACGTCCAAGAAGTTGATTGAACGTCCACCGTATTCAGATGTGAACCGAAGGTTCTCCTCATTCTGATTTAGAAGGGTCACCAGATCCGAGAATTCTTGAGGGGTACCCTGCCAGACAATTAAAATGTCATCGATGTAACGACCCCACCACAGGATCTTAGGTAAAAATTCTGTCAAAGTATCAGAAGTAAGAATCTGATGTTCCCACCAACCCAGGTGAAGATTTGCATATGAGGGGGCACAAGCCGTGCCCATAGCGGTACCCCTCACCTGGTGGTAGAACTTAGTATTAAACAAAAAATAATTGTGTGACAGAATAAATCCCAAAAGGCATAGGACTAAGGCTGTATGTAAATCATCCTTACAAGCTCTCTGGTCAAGAAAGAATCCTACATGTTTCATCCCTCTATCATGGGGAATGGAAGAGTAAAGGGATTCTATGTCCAGTCTACACAGGCTGGCTGTAGGGGAAAATTGGAGATCTGAGAGTCTATTGAGGGCCTGTTTTGTATCCCTAATATATGAGGGTAGGGCCTCCACGAAAGGTCTCAGGACTTTGTCAACATATAGACTACCGTTTTGCGTAAGGTTATCTACTCCTGAGACAATTGGACGTCCGGGGGGAGTTTTTTGGTTCTTATGAACTTTAGGCAAGCAGTAGAAGGTTGCTATCTTGGGGTGACGATTAAGGATGAATTCATACTCGTCACCCGACAGCAACCCTCCACTGCGGCCATCATCCAAGATCTCTTTATATTTCATAAGGTACTCATTTGTAGGGTCAGATTTAATAATTCTATATGTCTCAGTATCACCCAAAACACATTCCACCATCTCAACATATTTATTCACATCCATTATCACGACATTGCCCCCCCTTATCCGCTGGTTTAATGATAATACCAGCATCATTTTGAAGGGATTTCAAAGCCCGTTGTTCTTTTTTATGGAGGTTGTCGTTCGAATGAATGTGAAGAGATTTAAAGTTGATCTTTTCAATCTCATTCCTAGCCGCCTCAAGAAACAATTCAATGTTTCTGAAGCCGGCAAAGTTCGGTGTGTAGAGACTTTTAGTTTTCAGATCAGTATAATTTTGAGTGGTACTTGGATCGTTTTCATCCAAAAGGGACAAAAGAGTAGTCAGGCACTGATAATCCTTGGACGTAAGTCCAAGATCTCTGGCTTTTTTCTCATTCTGAATAGAATGGAATTTATGTAAAGCCAATTTGCGAATAAAAAGATGGAGGTCTTTAATCCAACCAAATCTGTCAAAAGGAGGAGTGGGTACAAATGATAGTCCTCTTTCAAGAACCATAAATTGGTCTTGATTCTTCTCTGTGACCACCCTGATAATAAGGGAACGAGAGAAGTTGGAACAATTCGCATGATTGCGACATATGATGCAGGTTGGTCCGAAGTTAGAAGATCCTTGGACAGATTTTGGCCAATCTTACTGAATGATGTACACCTTAAAAATGTTCTAGGTTCACACATTGATATTACGGCCAGACGGGGGCGCAACATTCGAGACATGCTGGTACCAAGTCACTTTTCCATCATGCCCCAGCCACGAGCCACTTGGTTGGGCACCCCACCTTGTGGTTCATATGGCTGTGGTAGACGTGTAGCCTGTAGGTATATATCTAGAGGATCTAAAACTGTGAGTGACAGCACAGGACAAGGTTCCATTAAGATAAAGAACTTCTTTAATTGCAACACTAAGGGTCTGGTATACCTACTGTCCTGCTCCTGCGGATTAAAATACGTGGGCAAGACCTTTAGGGCCTTTAAAGAGAGAATTATGGAACATATAAGGTCCCCAAGGAATCGCCTTGAAACACCTGTCTCAAGACACCTTAAAGAACACCATTATGGTGACTCGAATAACCTTAGGTTCTGTGGTTTGGAATTAGTGAAGAGGAACCAAAGACGTGGAGACTTTGATAGGACCTTGAGACAGAGAGAGTCGAAATGGATATACAAATTAAAGACACTCCAACCCCGGGGTCTGAATGAGGGCTTCTCTTTTGCCCCATTTATTTGACCGTATTGGTCATCAGTGTCCCCCGGTGGGGTGTTCTGTTTTGCTTTGTTTATATGAGGGTCTTGCTTTTGAGATCCCTCCCTTTGAGCCATGCCTTTATTTTATGTATATACTACTCTATTTCTAATCTATTTGATTTGGTTGTTATAATTTTTTTCTGATAGACGAAACAATCTTATTTAATTTTCTTAACTTTTTATTTTTTGTTTCCAGCTGGGTTAGACATAGGTGCCCTCGAAGGCACGGGGGGTGGATTGACAGCAATAGTGCAGTCTATCTCATTTTATATCTGTCTTTCTGTGTTTCCGACAGCTTAGGACAGTCATCAGCTACCATTACTTCTGCAGGAATAGTTGCAGATCCGTAGCGTGCTTCTTTTTCTTCTCTAGCATTAGTGTATCACTAT